GAGGGGGGTGGGGGGGGGGGGTGGTTGACATACGAAAAATTGGTGACCCACCCTGCATATATTGGCAAAAAATTTTTTCTTAGAATCGAACCTGCAAAATGTTTCCCAAAGGGGGTATGACTCCCAACCCCCCCCCCCCCAGTAGACACTTCTGGGGGGTTTTCGGGGGAAAGAGACCAGCCATGAGAAAGATAGATCACGAAAAGTCCTCGTTTTGTTGTTAGCCATGCACCAATTTGCCCATAAAAAAGTGAAATTAGCTGTCATTCAAATAGGCTTTGAGTGCTTCCTCCGGTATTGTCCCCCAGTGTAGCCGGATACCGTGTCCAAACTATATTAGATTCAAGACTGCTTCGTATCGACGTCTGGATCTTCTGTTTTTAAATGTATGAGACACTTTTATGCCGAGTTCATGGGTTGAGCCGAGAATGAAGCGGTGGTTAGCAGTGACTGATCGATGTGGTGGGATATATCAATAGATATATCTTTTCTGGACATCCCCGAATAAACAGGATGACTTGTACCATGGATTTCATGCTTCCTGAAGGCATTCACAACTCAGATCTATTCGAGACGGTTCGAGGAACTCCAGATATGCCCAACGTTCCGCGTCCGCACTGAAACGGTTCATGAAACGCGAAGCAGGTCTCAAGTCGGTCTAATGTTACACGTCCTCTCTCAAATGGTTCGTGAAAGTATGAGTAGGCCTGCGATCGGCCTAACGTTACACGTCCTCAAGGATATATCGCGAGTACCACGTATTCACCCTTATATGCCTAATTGGCCAGTCGAGAATTGAGTTTCTTTTGAAAGAGAAAAGGTAGGCCTTGGCGTGACCTGAAGGCAGTCGTGTTTGTTGGGGCTAGGCCTAACGTTGGCTTAAGGAAAAGGAAGACCATTCAAAATTGGTTTTCACATTACTTCATATACTTATTTGACTTGTGAGTTTTCATGCGGTGACTTTTTATTTGGGCCATTGGGAACGATCAGTCTTTTGTTTCAACCAATCTACTTCCACTCCAAATGAGGTGGACGTTTTACTGGGAGGTGCGAAAGAAGAAAATAGGCTCATTTTCCATCGATCGGATCTTGCGCATCTAGATGACAACCGAGTGCGAGTAGCGGCGAGTCCCACGTGGTGTCGAGACGAGGAAACGAAGAGTCTCCGGACTTGGGAACTTTCTCGTTTCTTTCGCCTCGCATCCTCGTGCTGTGATCCCCGTTGCCGCGTGATTTCACATCCGCACAATAAGCATTTATTAACCGGAAGGCGAAGGCGCGAATCCTCTCTCTCCCCACCCCCACCCCTTCCCACCCTCTCCTCACTTCGGATCTCGTGTCCGCCCTTGACCCAGTTGGCTGTGGTTTGCGCCTCTCATAAATCGCAAGAGAAGGGTTCGAGCGGCTGGATTTAAGAGAGATATCCTCCGCTTATCAGGAATCCCACGAGGATTACGTGTGCTGTTCTGAGAATGCACCAGATCGCTCCATTCCTTCCTATTTTATTGTGCAGTCTCCCCTTCCCCCATCGAGATGACTGAATTCCCCCCCCCGGGATTTTGACTCATCTCTTTCCTTTTTGCATATTGCTTTTGTGCAAGTGGACACAAGAATTTGCCTGTGCTTCGAGTGCGATAGCGTCGTGGTGACAATTCGAGTGGTGAGATATTTAAATATCGATTGAAGGTCATTCGGTGCCGTCGAACCCAATATATCTTTAGCGCTGCCAGACCGATCGGTTTCGAAGGACTGACGACCGGCAAAAATCCTCGATTCGAGGTAAGCAAATGACTTCTTAATGATGAACGAAGGCAATCTGATCCGTTCGCAGGCGACCGTTTTCGAGCGAACGGAATTCGTGGTAACACGGAACGGAATGGAAACCCTTGCCATGCATCTCGAGACGGCTTCCACTCGTGGGAAGAGGAAGGGGGAGAGATAAAACTTGATGACCGAAACGGCTAAGAGGAAAAAGAAGAGAGTGAAAACGGTGCACCCCGATCGCGTCTCCCGCCTTCCTCCGTGCCGGCTGCGAGACCGCCCCATATAATGTCTATGACGTGCTGGATTTCGCGGCTGAGGATGCGTGTCGCCCTCGATTTAAGAGGTATCGAGGGCGTAGTTAGTCACAGTGTATTGGGTTTATTTACTTTACTAGCCTAAATGCAGTGGTTTTTTTTATTAATAAAATAAAATAGAGCTGCTTCAAAGCTGCTCCAGTGTGAAGGCTTGTGGGAGTGAAACTCCGCACAAAATGCACGAAGTCCTCATTTTCGAGAATCTCTGGCGTCACCTCTGAGAGGGGTGTCATCGTGTGTCATACACGGAAGTTTCTTTTGAAAGGGGATTATTGTTTGCCAAGCATTGAAAACTATGATGTGCGAGCGCGTCGGTTGCCATGCGCGCCTGTCTTTACCTCGGCTTTCACGAGTGCAAACAGAATCACAAACCGGATCTCTCTGTGGAGCCGATTCCGATTTCCGTATCTAGAGTGCATGTGAGAGGTGTTTCGCTGGGTCCTCTCGAGGCCACTCTATCGTCGGTGCTGGCTTCCGACGATTTTCAAGACTCTAGGCTTTGCATGTAATCTGTCCTCATGAAATGTTCCTCGATTTGCGTCAACGCCGATGAAACGCCATGCATTACGACTCAGTGCAAAGATATTTAGCAATATAATAATACGTTTATATTACATTTAAGCACTTTCCTTCGCCTTCGGATTCTTCTCATACGGTTCAAAATGAGACAATCCTGTTTGCTGTGACCATGCCATCCTTCACATGGGTCAAGCGAAATTGTTTTCGTGTTTCTCCGATGCAAAATTTGTGTCACTCCTACAATGCAACCTGGAAGAGTTTGCAAATTTTTCTGCGGTGTTGACTTAGCATTTTCCCCCGTAAGTCCATTTCCCGTCGCTGAATTCAATCTTTAGACCCTTGCTAAATAAAATCTGAGTTTAGTACCATGCCCAGCCTCTCCCACCCACCCGATCATCCCGATCAATAAATTTGATACGACGATCGCGAAACGTCCTACCAACCGAAAGGCTTCTCATCCTTTCCAGTACGACCTTCCGACTCTCTCGTGTCCATACGTGACCCAAATCACATTTTGTGAACTATTTCTAGGAACTTGGAAATCGGAGGCTTGAACGTGGACGATGGACCAGGACGAGACGAAGCCAACCGGCCTTTTACCTCTGGATCACGCCACCGCAATCCCCGTGAGCACGAAATCACGCACAGTCGATAGTGGAGGTCGCCCCTTCCCCTCGATCGCATGCTTTCGACAGCTGGAGACATACGGAAGGCGCGTGTGGATGCCGGGAGAAGCGAAGGGGCTGGCGAGAGATAAGGCCATCTTTTACCTTCGGCATGCCGGTGACGAGTTTTGCAAGTTGCTCGAGCAAGAGGTGTCATTGATGGAGCAGAGCGAAGGTACCGACTCGGTTGCCGACTGGTTCGCGTGCTTTCGGCTTCATTTTGCGGGGAAGATGGAGGAATGGGCGAAATTACGATATTTATTTTGGAGGTGACAGTATTGGCGTTAGTATTAACCAACCATGAGTTCTAAAGTGACGGTAAACCAGAAAAAACTCAGTGAATTAACTCTATCATTGTGATCGCCTTGCTATGACCTGGAGTTCGCTCGACCACCTATCACTGTGACTTGGGGTATGTCCGCTCGATCCTGGTTTTTCATTATTGCTTTGCCATAAAAGTTAAAATTTTAAAATAAGATTTATTAGGACTAATTAATTTTACAAGTAAATGTTTGGCTTATTTTGTTTTATTATTTTTAAATGAACATATCAAGATGTAGTATACACTCGACATGCGCGCTTTTTCTCTCATGTTTTTCTTAACATCTTCTTTTCAAATTTTGAAGTTTTAGCAAATTTTTTCCCCTCGTATCCTCCGCATGACATATTTTCTCAACATGTGTCACAAACAACTGTCTGTACATGGAGAGTGACAGCTTGATCCCAGAAATTTGTGCTACGTGAAGTACTATTTTTATACCGACTTTGAAACTCACTAGCGAGCGCCATCACCGAAAATTACAACCCGGAATAAAGTATAATTTTGCGGATTGGCGTAAACACAAGGCCAAGGTCCGGATGGACCCCAGGTCATAGTGATATTGTTAAGGGCTTGAATCTGTAGATTGTTTCATTTCGCTTCACGTCAGTCATCGAGTGAAATTGTTGGTTTCATCGACCCTCTTCGGAAAAAAAATACCAGAGAGGAAAACGGCACGGAAGATGCTAGAAGGAATGCGAGAGATGTGCGACGCCTGCCGAACGACCATCTTCAACTTCCACTGGGTCTGCGAAGCGTGCGGGTTCATGGCCTGCAGCGATTGCGTCGCGGACCGCAGGGGGACCGAGGGCGAGGGCGAGGACTGGGCGCCGTGCAAGGGGCAAGGGGGGCAAGGGGGGCACCGGCCGGATGGGCTTCGACCCGTGCAGCTCGTGCCGTTCGGGGAGATCTTCACCGAGGTGTCGCGTAGATTCCACGAGTTGAGGGAGAGGCTGCAGCCTGGGTTGAGGTGTCCGTGCAAGGTGATTGATCTATGCAATCGTTTCTGTCTATTCCTTGTGGGAATTGGGTCATTTCTTCTGATCGGAATCTCCTTTCGCGTTCCCTTTTTTTTTCACAGAGGAAGGGAAAAGGCGTTAATGAAGTCAACGAGCTCTGCAATATCGAGAAGCAACCCGCATCCTTAGGGGAAGATGATTCTGCAAAAACCATTAGCAATATGTTCTCACGGGTGCCTCACACTTGGCTGTGTGGAGAGAAACTTCTCTGCCTCGAGGATCCCAAACATGCCGATAACCAAAGCATTTTCGAGGTGTGCCCGCTTTTCCTACTTCGTTTTAATTTTAATTTTTTTTTCCGGCCGATTTGGACAGACCCGCATGGTCGTGTTCTGTGTCTCCGCAGATTCAGTGGTCGAAGGGACATCCTGTGACCGTGGCCGATGTCCACACTCTCCTCAATATGGATCTCTGGACGCCGGCTTCAATCTCCAAGGAATTTGGCGATAGGGAAGATAGAATTGTGAATTGCCGCAACGGCGAGGTCGTCATAGGAAAACCCCTCAGCGCCTTCTGGGCCGGATTTCAGGATCTCAACGGTGAATCTGATTTTTTCCATCCGATATTTCTTTTAACTCATTGAAGTATTTTCCCTTTGACTGTAGAAGCTTCACGTAGGAATTCCAGCGCTCCTGGACGAATCCACCAAAATTCATATTAGTTCGATGCACATAAACCCTTTCCCTGATCATCCGCAGAGTTAACAAAATATTACGATTAGGCAGTGTGAGGAATAGCCTGGTTTTGCAAAAGTGTAATATTATTCTGTATTGCAATTCATGTGACATGGAGACCGCCCATTCCTTAGTGGAAAAAATGGAGCCCATTAATTGGAAATTTTGGAGTGAGGGTGGAGAGGAATATTCCTGAAGGTAATTCCATGATCGCATGCCGAACGACCTAGAACTCCGCTTCATTGGCTTTATGTATACTAGTAGTCCAGTTACTCAATTCCAGGAAAGTCTAGTTTGCATATAATCCCCCCACCCCGGGCCAATAGCTGGACGGAAACCATGGTGTTCCTGGTTAAGCTTTATATCTAATAGCTTACAGTTCTGGCATATAAGGATTTTAATGTTCGTCGAAATAACGATTGCTAGCGAGATGATAGCGATTGCTATGTAGACCAATGCTTCGCAACCGACATTAAATATAAGGGTTACAGTTTTTAAATATAAGGGTTACAGTTGCACGCCAGGGAAAGATTAGAGTGTTTCGGCACGAATCGCAGCGTAGCGACCACAGACGTCGACGTTCCAGAATTCCTGCACGACCGGGTTCCCTTCCTTAGAACAGCTCGAGGACGAAACAGGGGAGAAGATGCCCCTGAAGCTGGTGGACTGGCCCCCCGATAAGGATCTCAAGGAACTGAGTCCGTCCCGCTTCCGCGATCTCGTGAGGTCCCTGCCTCTGTCCGAATACACGAGGCGAGAGGGAGTGCTGAATTTGATCTCGCGTCTGCCGGACGCCTTCGTGGAACCCGATCTCGGGCCGAAGATGTACATCGCGTACGGGAGCGGGGGAGGAGCGGTCGGCACGACGAAGCTACACCTGGACATGGCGGATGCCATCAACGTCATGGTTCACGTCGGGATGCCGCGAGGTGCAGACCGGAGGCAGCTCGAGAGAGGTGAGATCGGGAAGGAGGAGGATGCGAAGAGCAGGGCTGCCGAGAGCAGGGTTGCTAAAGTCGCTCGTTTGACGCAGGTGCGTTGAAGGCCGCGAGGGAGGGAGGGTGCGATCGGGCGACGCTGGAGAGGCTGAGGAGGAAAGGGGTCGTCCCCGGGGCGCTCTGGCACGTTTATCACGCCGATGACGTCCGCAAGATCCGGGACTTCCTCGCGAGAATCTCCAAGGAAAAGGGGGAGGAGACCGGGAGGAACAGGGACCCGATCCACGACGGGTTGACGTACCTCGATGCACCCTTGAGACGTCGGCTCCGCGAGGAGTACGGGGTCAAGGGGTACGCGATCGCTCAGTGCCTTGGAGATGCCATCTTGATCCCCGCTGGGGCTCCGCATCAGGTGAGCCACGTCGACGACAGGGTTCGTGCCCAATTTTTTTTTTTAAACAGGTATTAAAGGGCGACTTTATGCGCTAAAAAAAATAGGTGCAGAATCTGTTGAACTGCATGAAGGTCGCGGAGGACTTCGTGTCGCCGCAGAACGTGCGGCATTGCCTTCGTCTCACTCAGGAGTTCCGTCGTCTGTCGGATCAAAATTCCTACCACGAAGATAAGCTGCAGATGAAGAACGTTCTTTATCATGCCATGAAGGACGCGATTGCTTGCCTCTCCGATGGTTAAATGACCCTAAACGACAGTGAGAAAGTTGCTGCCGGGAACATGGGACATTGGGCGAAGAAGTCATGCGAAATCGTCAGCATTTTTCTTTTGGCTCCCTCCTTCGCATCATTGCCTCGCATGAGGTTTTCTTCTGAGTGATTGAATCATATCGTAAACCGGTTTAAAAGGATTGCCGTGAGTAAGCTGGATGGTCTTCTGTTTGAGAAACTTGCAGTCTGGGAAATTTACAAGTTTATTGTGAGGTTTTCCAGAATTTATTTTTGCTTTCCGCGTGTATTTCTTTTTGTGACCTCCATAGACACGTTGCATTTCATAGCTGAGAATTAAACTTTTTTTTTACTTGTTCCAGAATTCTGACAATTTTCTTAAATTCATCAGTGAAAATATTTGGTATCGAATTCTCCCCTCGCCTGATTTTGTATTCCCTCCTCCAATCGTCATCGGACACATTGCAAATATGATATGACATTCCGATTCCCCGCTCTACCGACTGCAATGCATCAACGTTCAGTATTCTCTTTCGGGCGGATCGATCCTTAAACTAGTGGAGAGGGTGCCAGGAAGTGTTTCCCGATTTCTTTCTCTTTCCCCCCCCTTTTTCCTCCATCCACGTGGAGCGAGAAGTGGGAGGATGTCGGCTGGTGCAGACCCAAGAGATCCGGGGAAACCCCCAACATGCGGAGCGAATCACTTTCATCTGGCGGAGGAGGAGGAGGGGGGGGGTGGGGGGGATGTGGAAAGTACTTTCGAGTACGATTGAAAGATCGCCTCCGATCCTGTTGGACCTGCTCGGCCTCGGTGACGCTCCGACTTGCCGGCGTAGCAGGCTGCTCGTTCTGAATAGCCGCAATCAGACGCAGTAAATTTGCTCATGTAAGAGCAAATGAGCATTTTGAAGTATTCTTTCCCGTTCCTGCCATTTTCCTCCTATCGCTTCTTCGTGGAAGTGCAGTGTCTCCCATTCCATCCCATGCCTCGTCGGTTCTTCAACGTTTCTTTGGTCAAGGGTCCGCTTTATGAGTCGATGGGGTACCTTAGCCCTTTCAAGACTCGAATGAAAACGAAAAATGTCCTTATTAACCCTTTCGCTGCGAAAAGCGACTTTAGTCGCTTTATTATTCATGACCCTTCACTGCGTAATTTGACTTATATAAACCCCTAAACCAAAATTCAATCCGCTGCTAAAGAGCTAAGATGGCGAAGTTCCAGGAATCCGCCTGGAAATCCTGGAAAATCGGATTTCGACAGCCGAAACCTCTCTCGATCTGCTGAAAAAGGAAGAGAAGAAATTCCTGACGGTGCGTGTCGTGCACGAAAGTCAATTCCGTGTTTCGATTCTGAGTTTGCCCGGGTGATCGCAGCTTCGCTAAATCCAAATGAAGCCTTTTTCTCCGCGTTAATGCATATTTCATCGAGGCATCAATGCAAAGTAAATTCCGTCTTCGTCTGATATTTGTCGATGGAAAATTAATTACGACGTTTTTTTTATCAGCATACAAAAATTGTTCCCATTTTTGTTTCATTATGATTGAACATGTAGATTTGACAATTTTCTGCTCAAATGTTTTCGATAAATTTTCGTCCAAGCCAAGATGACCCCCGCAAAACATGTCGGGAAATGATCATTTGGTAGGCATTCCAAGAATTAACATCTTTCTCGTTTTTCTCGGGATTAAACGAAAATGTGCCGAAAATTGAATTTCGTCCACTATGTCTTGAGTTTTACGTTTTCGTCCACTTTTCGCCGGTGCAGTTTCTTTTTTTTTCCATTCTCGGGAGCGAGACGAAAATCGAAAATGTTTTCGTTGATGGCATTTCCGCCCTCTCTCTCTCTCTTGCGTATGGCGTTCAGAAAGCAACGAGAGGGGAAAATAAAATTAGAGCTGTATGCTGAGGCTAGACAGCCAATGAACGTCCGGGGTTGCTCGGTGGATTGCTTGAGTGGAGTGAACGTAGACTGCCGATTGCGCGAACGGTGGTCTGCAGCAGCCGTGCCAAACAAGATCCTTATCGAAGATCTTACCGTGGAGCTCCCAGGATTTCATCTAAAGCGGAGACACTGGACAGCCGATCAACCGCATTCGGACAACGCACGGTAGATGCGGCCACTTACTACGTAGATGGAATATCGGGGATTCGCCTAAATGCGAATGCGGCGAAGTACAAACCGTGAGCCACATCGCCGACCGCTGTCCGATTTCCGCCCTAAAATTCGTCGACGAAAATATGATCGGTGCCTCGTACCAGCTGCATCGTTCCCTTTCCCCTTTCTCGAAGCTCGTCACGGCGCGGGGAGCGCCAGGAGGCCTTCCGCCGGCACTCACGACCGAGCAAGTAAAGAAGTCATTCCCCGACCCGAATCTCATTCCGAGTTGACACGGCTCGAACTCGTCGAGGCCGAAGATACTCCCTTCTCTCGCATCCTTCAAGTCGCATGGCGGGCCTGTCTCATGTGGAACTGCTGTTCGGCATCTAGGAAGAACGAAGAAGAAACAGCAGCTTCCCGATTTGTTCGCCAGATGTCGGATCGGTCTCATCCTTTCCCATTACTCTTCCTCACCTCCCTCCCTCCCCCTCTCCTCTCCTCCCCCCCCCCCCCCATTGGGATTTTCTGGGCACGCTACTTCTCATGTTATTTTCAATTAAGTTCGTTTCTTCCCCACATGAAGGAAACGAGGGTAAAACTAGGGCAAACTAATCCCTCCCCAGAGTGTAGGCTTCTCGCACACAGCGACGGACGTTTCGAGCAGAGCGCCGGATTGAAAATGGGCCCATCATGCAGTCGCAGTATGCTAGTTGCTACGATACCGAGATCTCCGACGGGCAAATCGACAAAATGAACGTAAAGCTTATTTTATCTCCTCGGACCTCCTCCGTTACTCTACCTTCTTCGTAAGTAATGTCCATCACACAGGTAGGAATAGGCCGTGGTCTCGTGGCCTCGCGATCTGTCACTCGATCGGATGGATAGTCGGCAACAAATACTCAGGTGAGAACGGTATTTTGCAAGGGTAGCAGTAGGTATTCCACGCGGGGAAAAAAAAGTGTTAGCATAAATTAGCATAAAAGCAGCTGGATGGCTGCTTCGTATCGAGTCGCCAAAACGGGGGGCCGCTGCGACAAGGTTATGGGAAATCTCGCCCGTAGGAAAAGGATGGCGATGACCGAAGGGTCCATTCAGGGTTCATTGGACTCTGTTGTCACTTCTTCCTCTTTCCTGTTTTTGCTTTTATCCACGAAGATACCAAAATCTTGCTAACCTCGAAACTGCCGGTCATAATTCCTTCCACCCATTCACTAACCTAGTTGAAAAAAAAAAGGCTTCGCGACACGAGTCTTAAGGAAGCCGCTGCTCGGAACAGGCTTCTCCTCCACGTGCTTTTGCCATCGAGTTTGAAAAATCTATCGTACTCTACGTTTTCGATTAATTTCATTCTCGAAAGCGTCGAGAACCCCACGATTAACCTTAAGTTAGGCTTGGACTCCAATGCTATTGTGAAATGGACGCAATGCAATGAAGTGGCTACTCCGAAGGGAATGCCAAATAACTACGTCAGCAAAACGGGGAAGCGGGACCCAACCTGCTGACGCAAGCCAGAGAGAAACAAGACGAGACGAGAAGCGATGGTACGACGCCTCAGAGAACGGCAGGAAGCGGTATGAGTTCACGATGACGGAATCACAAGGTCTCAGACGCGAATAAGCTCTGAACAAACTGATCTATGGTGTCGCAGATACAAGTACAAGGGAAGGGAAGGGGATGGAAGGGGGGAACTAGTGCGAAGTGGCCGAGTAATTAAGGGGTTTCGGTCCTGGCCGATGATTACTGACCAGAGGGTCAATGTTGGCCCAAAATTTGCTACCGTACTTATTGAACCTTCCCAAGGGATCACTTCCGCGAACTCACTAACATACCTACACCTCTCTCCACTCTCCTTCCCTGTCCTCTTTGGTAAAATAATGATATATTCCACTGCAATAACTACGATACGAAATACCATAATTGGTAGGCAAGAGTTCTTCCTGGACGCCTAAAATATCGTGGCTTTTGCAAACAGACGAGATCCGATTGCGAAACACCTGCGCTGAAAGACACCAAGCGCACGAAGCCCAATACGACGATCACTGCCGAGGTCAGCCTAGGAAGGAGACGACGATAAAGTTTCCTCGTAGGGGGGACCTGGAGGCGCAAGTGGCGTGTGCGGGCCGCGGGCCCGCGAGACAGAGAGCGGGGATGCGCAGGGAAATAGACCGGCGGTCCAAGGCTGCGTCACGTGGAGTTTCCGACGGGGAGTGGAGGCGGCAACGCTGGAATGCGTTTGGCAGCGTAGCACTGAGGCCTCGTCGCCGGTCTCGACGAGCTCGCGTGGCTCATAGGCTTCCGCTCGTCCCGTTGACATCCGGAGGTGCGGGCATTTTAGATTTAAGGATCGCGATGGAAATTTTCGCAAATTTTCGAGTTGACCTTGTACCCGGACCCCCTTGAGAATTTTCCTTCGTGTATCCAATTGAATCGATCCGAAAGAGCACGCAGTTAATCCGATAACGCTCGAAATCCTCAGATGAGAGATTCTCGAAACGACAAGGCGCCACATCGGTGCTTCATCTCCTTCGGGTAGAAGCAATAAACAGCAGATTCTGCTGGGATTGCATGGATTTTCCGACACAGCATCACGACACATTCCGCGCGCGACCATTTTGCATTTCATCTGCAGCGAAAGCGGTCTCCTTCGGCCGTCATTCAAAATTGATTCCCTATTTCAAGTAGGAAAAAACCAGACTTCGTAGATAAATCCCCCCCCCCCCCTCCCCCAGTGACGCATTTTTACTGAAGGGTCAGGGGGGCAAGCAACAGAACCAAACCCCACCCGAACGATATCAGGGAGTAAATTATTACCTCCAAGGGGACGTCAGGCTCTGCTCCAGGGGCGCCAGGGGAGGCGACAGACCCAACCACACGTAATTCACACGCATAAAGACACTTTGTCATGCACGAACTGCTGTAGACAAAACTGAGAAACTCACTCTTCTCATCAGCCGTCCAAGTGTGCAAAGTTACTTCCAATGACGTTCAGTGTGGCACCACGTTCATGAAATTCATAGTGGCCCATACGATCTCCATTTCTTAAAAGCTTTAGGATGGATTTTTGAACAGAGCACTATCCGATAATGCAGCTTTATTTATCGGATTTATCATACATTTTCTCTGAAATAAAGCTACATTAACGGATAGTGCTCTGTTCAAAAATCCACCCTTAAACACGTTTCTCGTGACACTGTCGGAAAATCACTTTTTTTTGTACCGCTCCGATGAACTTGGAGACGAATTTGAGCCAAACGATGGATCACTGCATGCAGGTCGACGCAACTCACCGTGTAAGTCTCGGCGAGACTTTCCTTGTGAAGCAGTGTTGCCTCGTTTCCCCCATCCGCATCTCGATCCAGGAATAAAGCCTGAAAGAAAAAAAAATCGGGCGGGGGAAAAAATTTTTTTATCTCCACTCCAGTCTCCTTTCAAAAAGAATTCAGGCTTTAAAATCATCCGTGTTCGAGCCGGCACGCGCCGAGAGGTGACGCAACGAAACCCCGATGCAAAATTTTCGAGCAACACTGCAACAGCTCGCCGTCATAACAGAACCCGAGAGGTGTCGCGCGGAGCCATTGCTCCTCCACCTGCCTCTCCTCTCTTCGAGCGAAGTCTCGCCATGAAGAGGAGGATGACAGCGCACTACTGAAGACGCCACGGGAGAAGATAGCATTATGATTGGACGTAAACCCGAGTTCGGTTCCGTGCAGCTGTTGAATGCGCTGCACGAAAGGGAAACTGGGGTTTTCCTCAGCTTGGTCATCTCCCGCATGGACTCGTTGAAATCGAGCCGAAGACAATTTCAAGGAGAGTTCAGGTGAAAATTCTATATGAGACTGCAGTGGCGTGCTCAAGGGGGTGGGGGTGGGGGGTTGGGGGTCATCCCTTGGGATACATTTTATAGGTTTGATTCTCAAAAAATTTTTAATTTGGCCACAAATACAGGATGGGTTACCAATTTGTCATGTGTCAAACCCGTAGTAACAGTAGCGTGTCCAGAAAATCTCAATGGCCCCCCATTGAGATTTTCTGGACACGCTACTGTTAGAGTGTTCCTGATCAACGGTGATCTGCTTCTGCACAAAAAGGTCCGTAATGCATGGCCTATCTGTGATTTTCACTGGAGTCATTTTTACAATTTTTCGCTCGACTCGGACACTCGTGCAAGGGACGTTCCTAATGCATGATTGTCCACGTCTTCACGATAGTGAAAGCCACGATTTCAGCCTGATGAATTAAAAGCGTAACTTTCTACCAACTGAAATAACCATTAATGTGAACCTCAAAGGAGTCTTCGAGTCATCTCGATCGAGCCTGCTTTCCCGCCCAATCCCGCATCTCATTGTCTTGCTCTAAAACAGGCGGAATCTCGGAATTCTCATCGAGCGACCTTCCCGCCACCTGTCCTATGTTAGGGGAACCAGTGAACATCCATCGAAATCTATATTCGTTATGGTCAGTAGTTCCCAATCTCTTTTTATTTGGGGCACACATTAGGACACTTGAACTTTCCCCTGCACACCCTTGTGCTTGCTTTGCTGAACACGGCAGTTTGATACGAGGCGTGATAGTGCAACTCTCAACTCGTTTTCCGCCGAGAGATGGCCTTTTTTGTTCACTATTAAAACTAACGGCACACCGTTAGGGAAACACTGGTCTAGGCTACAGCCGAGTGCATATGCATGCCCGTATGCACATGAGATCGTAGTGGAAACTGAGCCTTAGAGTAACTCAGGTTGCAGGGCTGCGCTTCATGCGACCGAAGCTACATTCTGCAATGTACAAAACATCTATTGCGAAAAATAGTTACGGATGTTCTCCAGGAACTCATGACATCAAATTCAAATCCGATGAACGCGAATCGTTTGGGTGAAAGTTACTAAGTACCCTCGAAGTTCACGTTTCCACGAGTGAGTTTCCTTTTCTCCTCACCTCTCCACTTCCGAAAATGGCAAAAGATTGCAAAAAAAGCGGTGACAAAAACGTTGCGTTTTTCAGGGAGGAACGGGGGAGGGGTATATCGGGGTATGCTAATATTTCTATTAGTGTTTTAGTTGGAAGTCTCTTTATCGACGTGTTTCATGGTTGGACCCCTGACCAGATAATTCAGGAAATTTAAATAAATTATTCTTTCTCTACCCATAATTGTATTTTGATAAACATGCATTTCGTACAAGAACATCATACATACATATGTCCTTCGTATATCTTCGTGATATAAGCAACAGATGACAACAGATAACCGACAGATGAACGTATTCGCCCTGCTAATTTCCTTTAACGACGACGGACGATGAAATGCATCGTTGAATGCAATTTGGAAAATGGGGGGTGGGGGAAATCAATTTTTTCGAAAGGACAGAAACTCCACCGGGAAAAAATCAATCTCGTGAACCAAGAAAAAATTTAGATGAACATGAATCAGAAGTTGAGAGCAACGTGGTAGTAGCCATGCCAGATCCATCGGGAATTCTTGTAAGAAACGGGATTTTCTCGGACGAGGATGATATTGGCCACTTGACAATCGTAATCGTCCAAGCCGCATCCACCAGTGCTGTTGGTGCCGCTCCTGAACTGGACGCAGGGAGCCTTGAGCACGTCGAACAGCGTCTTCCCCGTCTGATCTGCTGCCTCTGTCCCCACCTTCTTAAGACAGTTCCGGAAGCTCAGGTCGCAGTCGCAGTGAGATCTGGCAAAATACGATATCTCAATGGGAGTCGATGGAGGGGCAGGATCGGCAGGACGAGGCCTACACGGTGAAGCCATTGAAGTTGTAGATGCCGTAGGCTCTGGTCTTTCTTGCGAGGGACACCGGGCAGAAATCGTGAGCCCGACAGCACCGATCGATCTTCGTTTCCGTCCCGAGGTGGTCGAAGGAGTCGGCGTGATTTCCCGCTCCGCACCAACGAGTCCCTGAAAACCTTAACGTAATCGTTACGCGTTTGAAGAGTTTCGAAATGGAGGGCGAAGAGAGGCGGGACCTGGTTTGATGATCCGAAAGACGCTGATTCCGTTCTTCTTCGAGTCGATCTTCCGCGGGGTGGCCTGGGAGCAGTCGTCGATGTCCTGCAGGATCGTCGCGAAGTCCACGGCGGTCCGAATGTATCCTTGGTCCGTGAGGGTGTCGAGGCAGGCGTTCCTTCTTGCCAATGTGCTTCACAGGGACAGGTTCGGAGTCATTCGTTGTGCGATGATGACGTGTGAAAAGTTTAGAAGGTTCGAGTAAGTGATATTAAAAACCAAAGAGTTTACTGGAGTTTTTGGCGTAATGTCTGGAAGCGTAATTTGAACGCGTTAAAGGACCTTTAACCGTTACTTCGGTGATCGTAAAGACATGGCGTGCCTGCACCGACTATTTCTCGCACCCATTTTTATCGCCATTCGCACGTTGCATTTTGAAAGTTACCGGCGGAAAAAAACTCCACTCGGACCAAGACCGGAACCAATACGCATCGTACCTCTCCTCGTAGACGGCGCATCTTTGAATAGATCCGTCGGCCGAACTGTTGAGCGCAGCCACGGTGAGAAGGTAATAGTGGGCCACGAGGGCGGAACGGGCGGACTCCAAGACGCAGGCGATGACGAGAACGACGGCGGAGGGAAGCGACTTCTCCCCGCCCCCGCCCATGCTCCACGATTCCGAGAAAAACCTCCGCTCCACGGATCGAGTCTGATTCCACCTCGCAATGGGATTCTACGGGAATGAAATCAACGCAGGTGAGAGAATCATAAAGTGTAAGTGGATATACGACCAGAAATGGTCACCAAGGAGCCCTGTCGGAAACCAGCACTTCACGCTCGGGAATTGTTCGTGCGTGATTTCCAGCTCATCGTTTCCGTCATTCGCGATCACGAAGACTTCTTTTTCATTAGTTGCCGAGCAATGAATTCATCAGAAAGATCACGACACGCGAGTCGTTCTGACCGCGATTGCGACTATGCTTCATCACGCATAATTCGTTTCCCTGCTACATCAAGCACTAATTTCAAGAAAATGCTTCTTGAGACGTGTAAAATAAATTCAACAGTCGATACGAAGTTTCGATAAGCAAGGAATAAAGAATCCGTGGAGCCACGAGCGACATCCAAACATCCCGCTTTCCCTCCCCGAGAGAGCGCAACTGACCTGAGCGGGAGAGCGGGCAGTCCTCGCGTGGCCCCCCCAAGAGACGGACGCGGGGTCGCCTTCGTCGCACCGATCCGGGTTGATGGTCTCTCGACGAAACGCGTTGCGGTGTGAGCACGGCTCCTGGAACAAGGATCTGAGGAGGAATGACGCTGCATTTTGGAAGGTTGGAACGAAGCATCGTTTCCGCGCAAATAATTCTTTCGTGTCACTATTTCCTTGGCTGAATGCATCGAACTTCATGCAATGCACCAACCAAGCTTGGAGCTAAACGAACACCTCCATGTTTTTTTCGTTACGACGAATTCCCGGGTTAGGACATCACCATAGCGGATCGATTTGGAAAGTTTTCGTCACGAGAAGAAACTTTCCGAGACTCCGAGTACTTTCGGTTGCATTCACGTCGTCACGCTTTCTTGGACCACCTTACCACAAAAATTAAGGATCCAGTCGAAAATGCATTCGGGAGTCCGTCTCGACCCGTTGAGATTCCATGCCCTGCCCGCTGACGCGAGGGAGTGAGGGCGAGTCAGCCTGCAATTCTGGTCTATTCTGGGGGAAGAAGGGGTAGGGGGGGAAGGGTAGGTTCGATCTGTCTTTCAGGTGAAAGAGAGGGTGAGCGGAAAAACGTGTGCTGATAGCCTAAATTCCCGAATCGAAAGGAAAAAAATTGGTGTAAAAATCCTGTCAACACCATCATTTTTACGTTTTAACATGCACGCATCCGCAACAGAATGAACATCGAGTATAAAACCTCGGTCTTCGGAATCACTGAGATCCATCCGTGGGTGCGTGGGTGGCGGGGGTGGCGTGGATGCAGTCGTCGATGTCCTGCAGGATCGTCGAGAAGTCCACGGCGGATCTCAAGGATCCTTTGTGCTCATTCGATCTCGCGAATACGAGAGGTTCTGAAGGCCTCTTTCACTCTCTTTCACGCACTTCCACGCGCACTTTCACGCGCTTCCACGAATTCATCGGAAGCGGAGGGATCGTGATCATGCTGTCGTTCCGACCGCGATCGCGATTCGCGTTAAGTCTATGCGAGATTCGTTACGTAGGGAGCGGCTATTTCTCTTCTACGTCGCAAACGAACGTCAAAATGCTCTCTGACCTGGCACAGAAAATTGATTATTTCAAAATTGATTATTTCAAAATTGATTATTTCAAAATTGATTATTTCAAAATTGATTATTTCAAAATTGATTATTTCAAAATTGATTATTTCAAAATTGATTATTTCAAAATTGATTATGTTCAGTGAGAATAATTTTCCTTCCTTTCCTTTTTCATTCTTACGCTTGCACAAAAAAACGATTACGAACAATTAAATTATGTTCATTTCACATTCACGAATAGGATTGAAAAATTACCGGTCATGAAGAGGGCATTACTTACCGGTAATTTACAAGCATTTTATCGGTAATTACTGGTATTTTACCAGTGTATTGCCAATAGGATACCGGCGACTCCAAGAGTGCCATAATAAGCAAAATATTTATTTTTTTTTTAATTTTAAGTCAAAATTTCATATTTTGCAACTCTATTGATGTGGATACAAAGCGTGCTGCTGGATATTTTCTATTTTTGGCATATCGAGCATCAAAAAAAGACAAAATCTGGAAAATGCGCAAAAAGTATCGGTAAAATATTTCATAAATATAAATTAACTGTCCTAGATGTCAAAACTTGACCCTTCTACGTTTCCAAATGCATTCTAACCCAAGAGGTTACGTTTGCGCGACCCTTTTCTCAAAAGATCACACTGGAATTGCCGAAGAAGTACTTACCGGTAGTACTAAGTAGCATAAGTATCTCATGGAAGAAGTACTAAGCAGTACTCAGACGGCAGGCGAACCGGAATCGCCTTCTGTCCTTTTTATCGTAACCTCGGAAATAGTCCAGCTGTTCGGCTGCATGCATCGTGAATCATGTGGTTTTTGAAGGTACTTCATAAAGCAAAGTAGAAAACTATTTTAGAATATTATTCCGGGAAAAAAAAGGAGAGAGGTGGAGTGTCCTCGGCCCGGAATTCTTGAGCCCCATTTGGGGCAGACCTATACACGGGATCTCCTATCACCGAATTCCTTCCCCAGCAGGAAGGGGGACGAGACAGGGCCGTAGGGCACGTGAGGAAACGCGTGAGGAAGTGAACCGAGTCACGTAACAAATGACGTCACACGTCTTCCCACTGATATAGTACTATACACGGACGACCGTTGCTGTTTTGTCCTAGGAGGATGACGGGCACGGCCGTCTCGTCCGCCAGCGTCTTAAATACTCTTAATGAGCTTCTTCGGATAATAAAAAAAAATCCATTCGATCGAATTCCACACGATTCGCACGGGTCATTCCAAACAGCAATCCATTCTGAACTTTATAGGGTTTCCTAAAACGATTCGAAGCAGATTGGACTCTGATTCAGAAAGCCAGTTCCAAGCGGAACCGATAATTGTTAAAAATAAAACTCACCCCTGTTATGAATGCCAAAATGAAATTTAAAGGCTAAAGCTGAACTTGTTTCAGCCTGGGTGGACGAGAACTTGAAGTCGTCCGATGCAAGAAGCACCGCGGGCACACCACCTAATGCATCGTGGTAATGCGGCCGTCGTTGGCTAGTTACGTTTCCACGTAACTGGAAAACTGGCGCATTATCTGCCTTGAAATGATCGGCAGGCACGATTCCAAATGAATTATGTGCAGGCAGGTTCCCGCCCGGCATGCATCTCTTAGAGGAATTACACTCGACCTTCCGGACATCGGGAATATTTCTGTCACTATTGAGGCGCAGTTCCACAAGGCCACTTTTTGATTGAGCCTCATGCTTTCACTCGTCCTAGAACGTGAGTGATTTCATAAAATACTCCAACGACTCTGGTAAATAACGGGCGTTTCCTACTCTCGGCACGAAAAAGATTGGTGAAACAGGACGAATGCGCGAGCACCTTGTCTTCGGTGTCTTAGCTGCCAATATGTATTTATTGCGGTTTGGAACAGGATTGGTCGAATCGCTGCACACCTCATCTCTCAACATGACATGAAAGACATGGAGAAATCCTCCAGAGGCACTGACACCTTAGTGATTATATCATCGTCATTGACTCTGGTCAGGCCCCACTCCGGCAAGAAAGGAATCAATCAGAATAGGAAGCATTTTTCTTGCGATAAAAACTGCTGAAAACCATGAAAAGGTAATTCACTGGTAATTTACCGGTAATATTAAAGGTAAGCACTGCTACGGTAATTACCAGTAATCTGATAATGTTACGGTAATGTTACTACCATTCACAACCCTATTCACTCCAAATGCTTTAGCCAAATCCTGCTCGAGTCAAAAGAAAAAGTTTGTTGCATCACGCACGATGTGAGTCGCGCATATAATCGAAGCAGGAGGGTTAACTCTCTCTCCTCGATGCATTCAGTCTTCCAGCTCCAAGCGAGAGCAACGAGAGACTGACCTGAGCGGGAGAGCGGGGCAGTCCTCGCGTGGCCCCCCTAAGGGATGGACGCTGGGTCGCCCTCGTTGTACCTAAAGGGGCTGATGGTCCCTCGAGGTTGCAGGGCGAGCGCGGCTCCTCCGAGCGAGGATCTGAGGGGAATGACGCTGCGTTTTCATCGGTGTGTTTCAGTGGGAACGGAGCATGATCTTTCCGCAAGGAATTATTATGTATCTAACAAGAGGAAAAAGAAGTGAAATCGATGGGTAGAGCGAGAGATAAGTGTGGATCTTAGACATTTAACAGTAATGGAGGAAGGCAGAACGATCGGCTCTTGGAGATGGGAATTACTATGGTCCGTCTGGCGGCCTGAAAATTCGCCAAATGAAAAGAAAGAAAATAAATGTCGAAATCCCTTGTCAACTTCGTCATTATTTCGTTATGATATATTCATGCACCCACGACAGAATAAACATATAGGGAAAAAAAATGGTAAAATACATTGCATAAACCGTCACCCTCTACTCTAGAGAACGTCGCATAAAACGACAGGTGCACCGTATCTCCGGTGCAATTACGATGAGGTAGGTGAATTCGTTATCGAAAGCAGTTCAAAAAAAAAAGAAACCTGAAAAAGCATGAAAACTGGGGAAGGATAGAAATCCTGTGGGAAAATCATTGTGTGAACCCAAAGGGAGAAATAAAGATGGGTATACGTAGATATCAGAAATTGAATGGGGCATAGTAGAAACCTCGCCAGATCCAGCGGGAGTTCTTGTAAGACACGGGGGATTGCTGGACGAGAGTGATGTTGGCCACTTGACAATTGTAATCGTCCAAGGCACATCCGCCGGTGCTATTGGTGCCGTTCTTGAACTGGACGCAGGAAGCCTTGAGCAAGTCGAACAGGGTCTTCCTCGTGCCGTTCGCCTTCGGGGTCCCCAGCTTCTTCAAGCAGCTCCGTAAGCTCGCGTCGCAGTCGCAATGTGTCCTAGCGAACGACGACGAAAATTTTATAATGGGGTTCGACGGAACCGGAAGACGAACGAACCGAGTCTCACACGGAGAAGGAGTTGGAGTTGGTGATGCCATACTTCGTGGAACCGCACGGGATGTAGATGGGGCAGAAGTCGTGGGCCCGACGGCATCGATCGACTTGGGATTCTTTGCCGAGATTGTCGAAGGAAGTGGCGATGTCTCCGAATCCGCACCAAACGTTACCTGGAAACCCGAACGTCAGCTTTTTTCCTTCTTCGATCCCTTCTCCTTCGTAAGGAAGAGGCGATGCAACGGAATGGCCAGATGGCGTTAACACTCCATCTGGCTATTCCAGACTGGAGGATTTTTCCTCGTATTTGTTCGGCGTTCCCATACAGCTGTCGCGCGATCGGCAACCCGATGTGAAAGTGAGCGAATCGCAATTCCACATCGTCGATTAGCGTACTTCCACATCCATTGCAATGGACGAAAGTGAGTGAAGTGAGTTAATCGACGATGACACGCGAGCGCGAGAATCAACACAAATTTCCAGAAAACCTTTTCCGCGTTCGATATCTCTCAGGGAACTAATCCAAACAAAGCCATATTTCTCCTCGACAAAAAAAAAATGGAGCGAAAACGGATGGAAAGGTGACGAGAGAGGATGGAAGGCTGATGGACCTGGCTTGATTTTCTTGAAGATGGTGAATCCGTCCTTGGTCGCGTCGATCAGCCCCGGTAGTGGACTGGGAGCAGGTGTCGATTTCCTGCAGGATCGTCGCGAAGTCCACGGCGGTACATCGGAGATGCTCAAATTGGCATCCGCCAGAGTTTCAACATTTAAAAGACAACAATGACAAAATTGCAACTGGATATTTTTTGCGCCACCCTGTATATTTTTTTTCAACAGAAGCAGTGCGATCATCGAAAACCGACTAGGGAAGTGTAAGTGCCCCAATGGACGCGCAGGCGATACAAATACATTTCCACGTAGCCGTATTTCCTTATTTCTCTCGGCACGAATCCAATAGAGAAAAGAGAAAGAACGGAAAAGGAAGGAAGACGAGACAGACGGAAAGGGAAAGGATGAAAGAACCTGGCTTGATGGCCTCGAAAACGCTCGATCCGTTCTTGCTCGAGTCCATTTTCCCCGGAGGTGGCCTGGGTGCAGTCGTGGATGTCCTGGAGGATCGTCGTGGATGTCCTGGAGGATCGTCGTGGATGTCCTGGAGGATCGTCGCGAAGTTCAAGGCGGTCCGAGTGTTCAGGAAATCTGATCGTCATCTTCCTCAAGCCATGATGAGATGAGATTGCTTGACAACCCATCCGTGAGGGACAGTAATTGCGTTCGGGAAAGGTAAATTTACAGAGTAATACAACGAGAGAAACCCACCTAATTTTTAATGCAAAGAATAAAATCCACTAATGACACAAAAGTACACGAGTGAAATAGAAGACTTGGCTTGTAGCGATAGATAGAGAGCCATCACATCAGTATTTCACATAAAAGAAATAAAATATGAATATTAAAAAAGTTAGTGCATTATAATCATCCTATAAGAAATGAGCGGGGTATCTCTCGTTGGATCACCCAGTATTTGAGGAGATATTGTCCCCATTGCTCCCCCCGCAACCCCCCCCGCCCTCCCCCCTCTGGACACGGCCTTGTTCTCGCCCCAATGAAAGGAGAGGAAGAGACGAACACGGAAGAGCGCCGCTATCTGGTTCTCGACGCGAGTCACGGGCTCGAGCCTGCAGGAATGCACGCCGATCGGGCCTGACAGCTCCTCCGTCCCGTTCGAATTACGGTTTCCTCGTCGCAATTTCTAGGATTCGACGAGGGGAAAGACCGCTGCGCCGTTGACGGATCGTTTGGGCGAGCAAAAACAACAAAATATCGAAACTCCCTGGAGGTACGTTCCCGTACGATTTGAAATTCTCCAGTAAGATATGAAATATCTGCAAGATATCTCTGAGGACCGTTGGATTCCTTCTCGGTTGACGCAAAAACGATCGACAAAGGGACAAAATCGCAAAATCGACAGAGAGGGATGAGAAAGAAAGTCGATTGGTCGAGCGAGAGCTAAGTGTTGATTTTAGGCATTTAACAGTAATGAACGAAGAATTGGAAACGAAGATTCTTGGAAATGGGGAGTTCCACATTCGAACAGGTAGCCTGAAAATTTTCCAATTAATGGAGAAATGGCGCGATCGGCAACCCGATGTGAAAGTGAGCGGATCGCAATTCCACATCGTCGATTAATGTACTTCCACATCCATTGCAATGGACGATCCATTGCAAAGCGAGTGAAGTGCGTTAATCGACGATGACACGCGAGCGCGTGAATCAGCACGAAGTCCTCACACTAGAATTTCTGATGCGAAATTTTCCAATTAATGGGGAAATAAACCAGACATTAAATTCTTGTCATCGTCGTCATTATTACATTCATATATGCATGCACCCACGACAATGAACATCATATAAGGCAAGCAGGCTAACATGCATTGCATAAATGTCACTCTTGGCTCTGGAAAACGCGGCATCAAACAACGACAGGTCCACATAGTTGCTGTGGAATGAAACGATGAGGTACGCGAATTCGTTATCGGATGTTGTTCGAAAAAGGAAAAAAGCAAAAAGCATTACAAATTTCAAAGGACAGAAACCACGTTCGGGAAAATCCATTTCGTGAACCCGGGTGGGGGATGTGAATATAGTTAGAGATGGATTCAGAAATTGAGCGGGGCATAATAATAACCTCGCCAGATCCAGCGGGAGTTCTTGTAAGACACGGGGGATTGCTGGACGAGAGTGATGTTGGCCACTTGACAATTGTAATCGTCCAAGCTGCATCCGCCGGTGCTGTTGGTGCCGCTCTTGAACTGGACGCAGGAAGCCTTGAGCACGTCGAACAGCGTCTTCCCCGTGCTGTCCGCTTTTGAGGTCCCCAACTTCTTCAAGCAATTCTTGAAGTGCGTGTCGCAGTCGCAGTGAGACCTGGCAAACACGAAGACATTGTTAAAATTCGGTTTAAGAGAGCTTGAGGGCAAACGAGCCGAGTATTACATGGTGAAGGAGTTGGAGTTGTAGAGGCCGTACTTCGTGGTCTTGCTCGAAATGTAGATGGGGCAAAAGTCGTGGGCCCGACAGCATCGATCGACCTGGGATTCCTTCCCGAGATTGTCGAAGGAATCTGCTTTGTCCCCCGATCCGCACCAACGGGTACCTGGAAACCAAAATGGTAGGTTCTCTTTTTTCGATCCCTCGTACCTCGAAGAGGAAAAGGCGGGTTAGTATTTCTCCATCGTTCTCCGACGACGGCAGTGCATCACGGACAAAGAAACGACCTCGAGAATCGCAGTGCGCGAATGGACACGCGGGCGATACACCGTCGTGACCGTCTGAAATCCGAGTTCGCTATTTTCGAGACGCGATTCGAAAGATGCTTTACCTCTCCCAGGAAAGAGAAAGAACGGAGCGAAAAGGAACGGAGACGGAAAGAGAAAGGATGAAAGAACCTGGTTTGATGGCCACGAAGACGCTGAATCCATTCTTGGTCGAGTCGATCTTCCCTGGGGTCGACTGGGTGCAGTTGTCGATGTCCTGCAGGATCGTCTCGAAGTCCACGGCGGTCCCGGTGTATCCTGCGGCCGTGAGGCTGGCCAGATGGGAGTCCCTTTGAGGCAATGTCCTAAATGGAGATCGGTCGTGTGTCTTTCGTGGAACGTGCGAACGACTCGAATGAGTAAAAGTTAGGCTTTGGGAAATTCTGGGGTTTTGCGTTGCTCCGAGATATTAAAATAATTAACTTACATGTCATCGTAAATGGTACATGCTACGGAAGACCCGGAAGTGTCGAACGTGACCACGGTGACAAGGTAATAGTGGGCCACGAGGGCGGAACGGGCGAACTCCAGGACGCACGCGGCGACGATGACCGCGGCCAAGGGAAATCCCTTTCCGACCATTCTTCACGATCCTGAGAAAAGTTCCGAGATTCGCCAGCTGGTCCACTGCGCTCTCAAAGGTGATTTTTCTCTCTCGCAGCGGAGTTCTATTGCAACGGGATTCCACGCAGGTTACTCGTCTGTCGATCGCGGACCTGTACGAACTGTACGAACCTTTTCACGGAATCGACCTGACGTGGATTACCGGTCCGGGACAGGACCCCGAAATAAACGTACAAATAATATATATAGAACTAAAATAAATAATCTGTTATCGTCCGGCCACGCGGCCAGGATCTCGCCGTTCGGGGAGCGTTCTCAGGAAATCACAAAAAATATATTTAAAAAGTCGTCATTACGTCGTGCTGAGATCACTCACAACACATTTCCCTCCAACGAAGCTGTTTACGCGCGAGAGAAAAGAGGATCCGCGAGCTCGGAGAAACGCTAACTGGCACTACCGACGTAGCAACATCTGGTGCTTGCCTCGGTGTACGCCGATCAGGCCTGATGGCACTTCTGCCTCACGCGTGAGAGAATTTCCCCTCCGAGCTTTCAAGAATTTTACAAGGGGGAACACTGCGTGCGATTTGCAGTGAAGCGTCGCTTCCATGGAGAGAATATTTCCCTTTCGCCTGGCAGAAAGAATACGGAATGGTGTCGAGGCTGAAATCGCGACGAAATTGCGACGACCCCGCGAAAAATTGAAAAAAAAAGAAATAATCGAGTGGGAGAAAAAAAAATCTTAAAAGGCTTTCCTACCTGCAGATATATGGTAATCCTGCATCATTTCATAAACCGAGTACCTATTCGAATTATTTTTACGAGTAGTCTATAACTTTTTACTCTCGAATTGCATTTGGAGAGATGAGCTCGTACTCGACCGGCACTCGATTCTCCCAAAAGGTGAAACACCGGTGACCGGTTGCACCGCCTCCGTTAAGTCAGACTCAGACGGGAAGTCCGACTTAGGGAGCCTGCCTTCAATCCCAGCCGACCCCACCGACCCGAGGAATCCACGGAACCGAGGCCAGACCTCCGCGAGTCCGACTCGGACGGAGGAGCAGAAGCGACTGACCTGAAGACATACTAAGAAGACTGGGCACTCGGAGAAACCTTCTCCCCTGGTGGTTGGCCCCGGAACTACGCAGAACTGACCAATGGGATCGTTGGATTGGAATGTCGCATGAAATATGGCTGCTTCTGGATCCAAATACTGCGCCTACGCACCGCGACAGGAGAAATTTGGCTAAACGGATGGAGATTTTCCGTTGCATCGGTTTCCTAAGGATCCGGAAAGGCACTCGGGTGTATTCATCTAGGGCTTTGCACTAGGCCTATGGTCATGGCTTCACATACTAGTATATGTAAAGGGCGGATGAAGTAAAATACTGAGTAACCTCAATGACCCTAACGAAAAGGTGAACCTTTTTCGCGTCTCGGATCGACAGGCCTGTTAGAATGGGATGACCTCAATTGTGAAGGGACAAAAACAAGTTGTGGATAATTATCTTTCAGCTTTGCTTTGGATTTACAACCTAAGTTCTTTGGGTCCAGTCGGATCACAGCTGGCTTCTACTCGCACAAATTGTTGCTGGCAGCTAAGCCAAAACGTTCTCGGCAATAGATGAGATTGCCATTGTGATTCAGCGATCTACAGTTCATGAAAATAATGCAGTAATAAATTAACAAAAAACCACAGATTCTTTGCTACATAGGTAATCGACACAGCACGCATCGTCTTGCAATTCTGCCTGAATTCAAGAATCCTAGCCCCCCCCCCCCCACGGGGGGATCCTCCTCACATTGTTTTCCCAACTCCTCTCCACAGTCTTCCGCCAGCCATGTCAATCCGTCACTCACAATAGAAATGGCATCAGACTTCGGGCGAGAATTCGTTCAAGAGACATCAGCACTCTTCTCCAGGAAACGCTGACGTTAGTTCTCGGGCCAACCACCAGGGCATAGACCGCCATTGCGCTTACCCTGCTTTCGCGCAGTGTCCAGTCTTCTTAGTATAAGGTTCTTTGGACTGACCTCCTGGCGATCTTCGCTCGTGCAGGTTGACCGGGATGGCGGTCGATGCGCCTGGTGGTCGGCAAGAGAACTAACGAGAGCGATCGGGTATCTCAAATGAATCAGCGCCTAAGTTTGAGGTCGCTTCTATGGCGCATTCGGGGATGTGAGGGGATATTTTTCGCCATTCAAATTGGCCTTTGGAACCCGAGTAGAAAGTGGCATGGAGTCATTTCGAAAAAATTGTATCGGTTATGAAGAAAAAGCTGAATTCGCAGTCGGGAGCGGGAGTGTCCGAGTCGAATGAGAATCGTCAGCCTCGACCGAAAACCGCTGAAGCATTCTTCCGAATTTGAGAATTCGATAGACCCATGCTGAATCTAATTCGGGTCAGCTCTGATTGCGTGTCATTTTCTTGCTAAGAATGCTTGGAATGCGTTCGTTGCAGGATGAGCCCCGCGCTGCCCATTCCGTGGTTAGCTCAATTTAGAAGTGGCATGATACCTTCAGAAAAAAAGGAAACGAAACAAAACAAGGAGCAATCTATGCCTATCGGTCAATACGAGACGTATTAATTAATAGTATTAATTAATAGAAGCGTCTGTCACCGCCCTTCAACCCCTTCCGGCGACAAAATTAGACCATCTCGTATTCCTCTCTGAGAGAGTAAAAAAAAAGAAGAAATTTGTCATGCTTCTTCCTCTCTCAACGCAGAATCGCTCCAGCAAAATGGAAGCGCCATCTCCTTCGGATCGCGGAGATCACTGAATCTCGTTTTTCGGAGATATGAATTTCATTCCGGGAAATTTTTTTTTTTCTCCCTGGAAGTTTTTGGAGAAAAGAAATCAACTGAACGAAAAATGTTGACTCGTGGGTCGCAGAGAGTGTCCTCTTTGTTGCCTCCAGTGCACGATTTCACAATTAAAAAAATGAAATTAGATGCCGTTAATTTAGACTAGGCGTGACGGCTCCGGTCCCGTCCTCCAGTGTTGCCGGATATCGTGCTGAAATTATGCCAGATTCACGACTTCTTCGGCCTTAGTATCGGTGGCGAGATCTTCTTTTTTATGCATGAGATAATTTCATGTCGAGTTCGTTAGTTGAGCCGAGATTGAAATGGTGGCTAACAGTGGCCGATCGATTCGGTGGGACGTGACGACTTCTCGATCGGCACTCTCGCGAGAGTGAGTCCCGAGAGCGAAAACGGCGGGATTCAGGGATGCAGAGAGCTGCTCGCGCGCGCGGGATCGGAAAGCCGGGAGTCTGACGTCTACGGGCTGATGGCCCGGTCCGAAGTTCGTCCGAGTTTTCCGGGGGTCGGCTGGTTTTTGTCGACGGTGTAGCAGTGCTTGCTTTCTTCCGAGGGCTCTTCAGTCAGTAGGTAGACTTTATTTACTTTTTTTTGTAGAAGAGCACTAAATAAGGATTACGATAAATGTTCCTTCTCTGCATAACCTCCCGTGAATTTTGCGCACTCGTCTCTTCAGTGACCGAGCTTCCGAAGAGCATCACCATCAGCATTTGGGTATTTGGGTACCTGAGAAAGTGAAAAATGGAGAATCCCACTTCACTCTAACCCTGAAACCTGCGACCACGGGGAAATTCCTCGACTTTCGGAAACGAAAGGAGACATCGGTGGCCAAGCCAGGACCGTAAGGAGGACATGGCACTCGATCCCGGCCCGGTTTGGTGATGGTTGCAATCGAGATGTTAGCCGTGCGTGGGCGAGCAACACGGTACCGTAGAAGCGCTCCGTATAAACGGGTTACAACTCTTCTTTTGAGCATTCCTCAAAATGTAGGCAGGTATTTGCCCCGTCACGGTGGAACCATAAGGCAGCAGATGCACCAGAATGGCAGCTTCCACGTTCCAAAACGTGACGTGGAAACTCAGCGCATCGAGTCAAATCACGAGAGGAGGGAAAATTGCATGACCTGGCGTCATCGAGAAAATTTCACAATATTTCCTCATCGAACTGCACTTTTCCTCACCTTTAATAGCCTGTGCATTTCGAAATTTCATGCTATCCACCGTCCTTGCATGATCAAAATAAGGATCCATTTTAGAAAATTCCGACTATGGCTTTTTGTTTTCCAGCCATTTTTTTTGTTTGAAGCCATCGACTAAGCACGTGAAATGAAATACACAATCATCTTCCAGGAATTTATTGGCAGTTAAAAAAAGAGCATTTCTTTTTCCAGGAAAGGGGGCAGGAAAAAGATGCAAAATTGTAAAAAAAAATTATCTCACATGAGAAGGTAGATTAATGATACATAAGTAAAAAAGAACTTCTTGCAGGTGAAAGGTGCGATGATACAAAAGTAATTTTAAAAATCCTCATTGGTTAGGAAAGGGATAAACGCTACAAAATATTTACAACTAATATCTCACAGGTGAATGGGCGGATTAATGCCACAAAATTACAAAAATTTTTCCTGCAGGTGAGGGAGTTGGCTGGAAAAACGGATTAGTTGCAAGGATTCTCGCTCGCTTCATCTGTTTTTTTTTTGTGATAAGGCCGAAACAAATGGACCCTTCTCACCCGGCACTTGGAGTGAAGGCAGGAGATTGGAGTTTCGGAAGTGGTTTTTAGAGGGTGAATGAGGCTACGAGCTTGAATGGAATTGGAAACGTAAGAGCGGCCTCGTCAAGCAACACTGACAGTCCAAAAACGCCTCTAGGTAGCTACAAACCCAGAAGGAACGGGGAAAGAGATGCTAAGGGATAAGGGAAGGCTTTGTTGGGCACCACATCCTCTTCGAAGGGAGGGTGTCTCTGGGATGGTCTGGAGAAGTTCTCATTTTGTCCTTGGTGAGACGATATTGTCAACTTCGTCGGACTTGTGACAACCACCATCCTCTGGCCGGGCGAGGTCCCGTTGATGTCAGTGGAACAAGTGGATTCACGGGAGTTTCGTCAGTGAATGGTGATGGATCCACGAGAGGAATGTGATATGCTGGGAAAGAGACATCATAGTACTGGATCCATCCGAGCCTATGAAAATTAGTGAATGGTCCGCGAATGGGGTGGA